GAGATCATGACCTGAGCCGAAATCAAGAGTCAGATGCTTAACTGACTGAGCCACCCAGGCGCCGCCCCTCCTTCAGTTTTTCTTCATTGCCTACAGTATAGCCAGACCTCCTTAACGTCTCAGGCCAGGCCCCAGATCTTTTTTTTTTTTTTTTTTCCAATATATGAAATTTATTGTCAAATTGGTTTCCATACAACACCCAGTGCTCATCCCAAAAGGTGCTCTCCTCAATACCCACCCCCCACCCTCCCCTCCCTCCCACCCCCCATCAACCCTGAATTTGTTCTCAGTGTTTTGTTTTTTTTTTTCAACATTTATTTATTTTTGGGACAGAGAGAGACAGAGCATGAACGGGGGAGGGGCAGAGAGAGAGGGAGACACAGAATCGGAAACAGGCTCCAGGCTCTGAGCCATCAGCCCAGAGCCTGACGCGGGGCTCGAACTCACGGACCGCGAGATCGTGACCTGGCTGAAGTCGGACGCTTAACCGACTGCGCCACCCAGGCGCCCCTGTTCTCAGTTTTGAAGAGTCTCTTATGCTTTGGCTCTCTCCCACTCTAACCTCTTTTTTTTTTTTTTTTCCTTCCCCTCCCCCATGGGTTTCTGTTAAGTTTCTCAGGATCCACATAAGAGGGAAACCATATGGTATCTGTCTTTCTCTATATGGCTTATTTCACTTAGCATCACACTCTCCAGTTCCATCCACGTTGCTACAAAGGGCCATATTTTGTTCTTTCTCATTGCCACGTAGTACTCCATTGTGTATATAAACCACAATTTCTTTATTCATTCATCAGTTGATGGACATTTAGGCTCTTTCCATAATTTGGCTATTGTTGAGAGTGCTGCTATAAACATTGGGGTACAAGTGCCCCTATGCATCAGTACTCCTGTATCCCTTGGGTAAATTCCTAGCAGTGCTACTGCTGGGTCATAAGGTAGGTCTATTTTTAATTTTCTGAGGAACCTCCACACTGTTTTCCAGAGTGGCTACACCAGTTTGCATTCCCACCAACAGTGCAAGAGGGTTCCCATTTCTCCACATCCTCTCCAGCATCTGTAGTCTCCTGATTTGTTCATTTTGGCCACTGTGACTGGCGTGAGGTGATATCTGAGTGTGGTTTTGGTTTGTATTTCCCTGATGAGGAGCGACGCTGAACATCTTTTCATGTGCCTGTTGGCCATCCGGATGTCTTCTTTAGAGAAGTGTCTATTCATGTTTTCTGCCCATTTCTTCACTGGGTTATTTGCTTTTCGGGTGTGGAGTTTGGTGAGCTCTTTATAGATTTTGGATACTAGCCCTTTGTCCGATATGTCATTTGCAAATACCTTTTCCCATTCCGTTGGTTGCCGTTTAGTTTTGTTGGTTGTTTTCCTTTGCTGTGCAGGAGCTTTTTATCTTCATAAGGTCCCAGTAGTTCATTTTTGCTTTTAATTCCCTTGCCTTTGGGGATGTGTCGAGTAAGAGATTGCCATGGCTGAGGTCAGAGAGGTCTTTTCCTGCTTTCTCCTCTAGGGTTTTGATGGTTTCCTGTCTCACATTCAGGTCCTTTATCCATTTTGAGTTTATTTTTGTGAATGGTGTGAGAAAGTGGTCTAGTTTCAACCTTCTGCATGTTGCTGTCCAGTTCTCCCAGCACCATTTGTTAAAGAGACTGTCTTTTTTCCATTGGATGTTCTTTCCTGCTTTGTCAAAGATGAGTTGGCCATACGTTTGTGGGTCTAGTTCTGGGGTTTCTATTCTATTCCATTGGTCTATGTGTCTGTTTTTGTGCCAATACCATGCTGTCTTGATGATGACAGCTTTGTAGTAGAGGCTAAAGTCTGGGATTGTGATGCCTCCTGCTTTGGTCTTCTTCTTCAAAATTACTTTGGCTATTCGGGGGGCCAGGCCCCAGATCTAATCCCATCCTTCACACCTTTACTGTTGGCTCTCACAAGCCTCCCTTACTTCTTACATCCACATTGGATGGCTGGATGTTGTCCCAAAACCCCGTTTTGGCTTTGCTTTTGTGGTTTTTGAGTCAGAGGGCCCATTTCTCCTTTCTCCTTATCCTCTAATTGTTTAAAACAATGAGCCAAAATGGGGCACTTGGGTGGCTAAGTCAGTTAAGCTTCTGACTTTGGCTCAGGTCATGATCTGAGCTCGTGAGTTTGAGCCCCGTGTCGGGCTCTGTGCTGACAGCTCAGAGCCTGGAGCCTGCTTCAGATTCTGTGTCTCCCTCTCTCTTTCTGCCCCTCCCCTACTCACGCTCTGTTGCTGTCTCTCAAAAATAAATAAACATTAAAAATAAAACATTGGGCCAAAAATGTATTACATAGTTGGTAGCAATATTATGTATGTATTTATATGTACATGTATATATACACGTATGTGTAAATGTGTTTATATAAATATGCACATATCTCACAAGCCGATTTTCATCACAAAGGGCAGGTGGCATCAGGTCAGCTCTGCCATCTCTTAGACATACTACTCTGTTGGGGAAATAAAAGTCTCCCAACTTGGTGTGTTTGCGTCTGTTAAATGTACTGGGGTTCAAATGGACGGTATTTGCCCTAGTGCTTTGTAAAGTCCTGGGCCTGAACTTAATTATGACCCAGGTAGAGCACTTCTTTGAGAAGAACTGAGATAACTCACCCAGATTCTTTGCTTTCAGATGGAATTTAAGGAATTTAGGTATATGGCCAGTTAGCAGGATTAGGGAAAAAAGAATTATCATTTGGTGGGTGGCAGTCCCTTTATGTACATTATGCCATTTGATCCTTTGAACCCCCATGAGATAAGTAGGTATTTTACAGGCGAGAATATTGAGGACTAGAGAGAGGTGGGTGGTTGCCCCAGATCTAAAGCTTGTTAGGCTCTCCTAGCAGTCGGGCTCTGCAGCAGACAGCGGGCGGCTGAGCAACCAACCGTGTGTGCTTCAGCTTTTTGTCAGCCCTGGTTTCTTTTCTTAACACCCATTATTGTCCAGGCCAGAGACTATTTTACTGTAGATGGTTTGGGAAAAAGTTTTAGTTCAGCATACGTGTTCATCCTAGTGTTTATGTTCTTTCCCTTTCTCTCCTGGATGGTATTTCTGTGTAAACATCATTGTGGCCATAAAAATATTTGGCTTTCTGTTGTGCTTATTTTCTCAGGGGTTATGAAGTGTATTATGTGTATGCAGTGCATTTAAACTAGACAGAAAGCAAATGTTTATTTAGTGGAATAGGAAAGAAATGAAATTCATGGCATATATGTTCATATTCTTTTTTTTTTAAGTTTATTTATTTATTTTGAGAGAAAGTGTGTGAGTGGGGGAGGAGCAGAGAGGGAGGGAGGGAGAGAGAGAGAGAGAGAGAGAGAGAGAGGGAGAGGGAGAGAGAGGGAGAGGGAATCCCAAACAGGCTCCACACTGTCAGTGCAGAGCCCAACATGGGGCTCGAACTCATGAACTGTGAGATCATAACCTGAGCCAAAATCAAGAGTTGGAAGCTTAACTGACTGAGCCACCCAGGTGCCCCAATAAAAGCTTATTCTTAAAAAAAAATTTTTTTTATGTTTATTTTGAGAGAGAGAACAAGTGAGCAGAGGGAGGGGCAGAGAGAGATGGAGAGAGGGAGGATCACAAGCAGGCTCCGCACGTCAATGCCCAGCCTCACGTGGGGCTCAAATTCATGTGAGGTCATGAGCTCAGCCGAAATCAAGAGCTGGATGCTTAACCGACTGAGCCACTCAGGCGCCCCTAAATGCATATTCTTTTTAAAAAAAAATTTTTTTTTTCAACGTTTATTTATTTTTGGGACAGAGAGAGACAGAGCATGAACGGGGGAGGGGCAGAGAGAGAGGGAGACACAGAATCGGAAACAGGCTCCAGGCTCTGAGCCATCAGCCCAGAGCCTGACGTGGGGCTCGAACTCATGGACCGTGAGATCGTGACCTGGCTGAAGTCGGACGCTTAACCGCCTGCGCCACCCAGGCGCCCCATGCATATTCTTAATATATTATCACTTCTATGTATCTGGAGTCCTATATAGATCAAAATCAAGGATTTCACTTCCTTGAGTCTGGGGGCAGTGGTGGTGGTAGTGGGAATAAGGTCAGCTGCAACAGCTAGCATTTGTAGAGCTGTTACCATGTATGTATATGTGTTACATTTGTTATATACATGTTACATGCATGTTTCTAAGGGCTTCGCTTGTATTAGCTTTTTAAAACCTCTCCATAAACCTCAGAGATGGTGGTATTATTATCTCCATTTTATAAATGAGGAAATCGAAGCACAGAGAGGGTAGGAAACTTACCTAAGGTCACACAGCTAGGATACATACTACACTGTCTTGGCAGTTCTCAATCTGAGTTAATTCAAATTTGTATTGTTAACCACTTAAATACATGACTGAAATGTTTCTCCATTACTGTTATTGTTTCCTTTCCTGGGGCTTGAACTCAGTGTGCTTTTTTAGGGGCACTAGTAATTATTTTCAAAGTAAAATTATTTTTTTTAAGATTTTTTAAAGATTATTTTCAAAGTAAAAATGACCAGGCCTAGCGGAGTTCTATATAAATCACTGGAATTACTGAGTTATACTCAAGGAATTAAGGCAGTCCTTCTCACTATGTATTATTAACAATAGTATTTTAAAAATTGAGGTATGAAAATGTTACACATTCAGGAAGGTGCTTTAATTCTGTAAGCTATTGAAATGGAAAAATTCGTGTGTTTAAATGCTGGCTGGTGGAGTACTGCTTTCAGTTACAGCAGATATGGAATATCTAAATGGTTTGGCAAGAAAAGATAAAGCAAACATTTTTTCCTATTTAGCAAGCAGTAATTCTGGATTCAGAAATGGTATTTTGCAGGAAGAAAGTTTGCGTTGACAGAGACAGAATGTTCTTGTAAGTTTGAGAAAATTTTTATTAGCTAAGAAATACTGTGGATGCTGTGTAATGAGTCTTAATGCCTTTATGTTAAAGTCAGTATTCCCTCCGCCCCTCCCCCCTTTTTGTTTTTTAGCTCTGAAAAGGACATGGATGAAAATGAAAGCAACCAATCTCTGATGACAAGCAGCCAATATCCTAAAGAAGCAGTAAGAAAACGCCAAAATTCAGCACGGAGTTCTGTAGGAAGTGATTCTTCTAGGTTCTCCAGGAAAAGTTTCAAATTGGATTACAGACTAGAAGAAGATGTAACTAAATCAAAGAAAGGAAAGGATGGCAGATTTGTCAACCCTTGGCCAACTTGGAAAAATCTCTCTGTTCCAAATGTTCTTAGATGGCTGATAATGGAGAAAGATCACAGCAGTGTTCCGTGTTCCAAAGAGGTAGCGTTTGGTTTTTCTGGGGGGCTGCGTATTTTGGGGGGCTCTTATTAGCACTTAATTTTGCTGTGAATTGTATCATGACACTCAAGTTAGTTAATTGAGCTTCTTTTATATGATAAGGCATAGGGCTAAGTTCTGAGAAGAAAAAGTGAATAAGGTGTCCTCAAGTTCATAACTTAGCAACAAAGTATGTATATGAATAACCACTCTGATCTGGTGGCAATTGGGGTAGGAATAGAGTGCTTTAGAAGTACAGGATGAATGGATAAATAAGATGTGATATACATACATAACACAGTCAGTGGAATACTACTCAGCAGTGGAAAAGAATGAAATCTTGCCATTTGCAACGTGGATGGAACTGGAGGGTATTATGCGAAGTCAAATAAGTCAGAGAAAGACAGGTATCCTATGTGCTCACTCATGTGGAATTTGAGAAACTTAACAGAAGACCATGGGAGAAGGGAAGAAAAAAAATAGTTACAAACTGAGAGGGAGGCAAACCATAAGAGATTCTTAAATACAAAGAATAAACTGAGGGTTGATGGGGGAGGGAAGGGGGGAATGGGCATTGAGGAGGGCATTTGTTGGGATGAGCACTGGGTGTTGTGCGTAAGCGATAAGTCAAGGGAATCTACTCCCAAAGCCAAGAGCACACTGTATACTCTGTATGTTAGCCAACTTGACAATTAAAAAAAAAGACAGGAAAGGAAGCGGTGGATCCGAGCTGGTAGGGCTGGAGATGGCTTCTCAGAGGAGGCAATTTGTTATTTGAGCCAGGCCTAAAAAGATAAAAAGTATTTTGGCAGTGGTTTTCAGGTGGATGATGGCATGAACAAGGCCATGGAGGTGAGAATGTGCATGGCATGTCCCATCAAGTAGTAACCTGATGTGTGTTTGCCCAGAGTGCTTGGCTTTTCATCCTTGGACACGGCTGCTAAAACTGTGAAAGGAATCTTCGGATAACCTTTCCAGACCTTAAACAATTGGCAGTAGGTCACGGACCTTTAAATAAATGACATTTACCTAGGGTGAAACTTTATTTTTTTTTAAGTTTAGTTTCTTATTTTGAGAGAGAGAGCGTTCATGTGCAGGGGAGGGGCAGAGAGAGAGAGGGGAGAAAGAGAATCCCAAGTAGACTCCGTGCTGTCAGCACAGAGCCTGATGCGGGGCTTGAACTCAAACTGTGAGATCATGACCTGAGCTGAGATCAAGAGTGGGAGGCTTAACCGACTGAGCCACCCAGGTGCCCCTTTAGGATGAAACTAATTAACATTTGGCATACAGTTTATTAGATCAGTGTGATTACATTTGGCAGGGAGTGGGTGGCTCCCAATTGCAGGAGCTGTTTCTTGCCCCCTCTTTTTTCTTATTTTCTTGCTTCTCTCTACCACCTGTCTCCTTTGGCTTCTCTTTTCTACCAACCTCTGTCATACAAGGCTTTGGAGGAAGTGGAGAGAGAGAGAGAGAGAGAACTTGATGTTGGGAGTGGGGGACAAGATGAAAAGAGTGGGGGGCATCCTTGAAGGCTTGATCTGCAGTGGGAAAGACAACAGGGGGAGTGGCTGCTTGTGGTGGTGGTGGTAGATCCTTGGGTAAGCGTGTCTTTTTCTTTTTAAGGACATGGGATTTAAAAACAGTATTAACACTTTGATGCTAAGGAGTGTTCACAGTATTAATCCTAGTTAACAGAGTTGATTAATATGATTAATGCTTTTCTAACACCTTGTTAGAATGAGGCAGGCAGGGCATTAATAGATAAAACTGTATTACGTGTTTCAGCTTTGAGGCCGGGAGGAACAAGAAGCCTCCCCCCACTTGTTTTTTCCTTCTGAAGAAGCCATATGAAGAGCAACATGGAAGGGTGTTGTGAAGAGGAGGGGTAGGGCAGGGGGCTACCTGTTTGGGGTAAATTTCCTACTGGTTTTGAGCCACAGCTTCTAAAACTGCAGAGGCAAGCAGTGGTAATTTTAGATTTCTTTCATTTCATATGGGAAGTGAGCGATCACACGAAGGCAGAAATACATCTGTGTGTTCTAAGGATTTGGAGATATTCTAGAAACTGGGTTGAATGAGAACTTGCCAGGCTAGTGGTTCTGAAGCTCTTTTCAACCCTGGCCCCTTTTGAATGTCTGATGAAAGCTGTAGACCTTATGTGGACATAAACACATTGCCTTTTACTGTAATTTCAGTGAGTTCATGGGTTCTCTCAAGCCCTTCCTCATTCATTCACTCATCCATTCATTTAGTTACTACTTATTTATTTAACATTTTTTAATGTTTATTTTTGAGAGAGAATGAGAGACTGAGCATAAGTGGGGGAGGGGCAGAGAGAGAGAGGGAGATACAGAATCCGAAGCTGTCAGCACAGAGCCTGACACAGGGCTCAAACCCAGGGACTGTGAGATGACCTGAGCCGAAGTTGGACGCTTAACTGACTGGGCCACCTAGGCGCCCCTCATTTAGTTACTATTTATTGAGCACCTGCTGTGTGAGCACACAGTTCTAGGCAGTAGAGGGAGACCCTTGAACAAAGCAGAAAGACACTGTGGCATTCTTGGACCTTGGGTTCAGTGGAAAAGAGAAATAGTAAACAAATGGGTAAAATATGTATTAAAATATGACTAGTGCTTTGAAGAATAACAGAGAAAGGAATTAGGGTGGAGGTGGGAACTACATTCTTTAATGAAGTGTAAACTTTTTTTTTTAAAGGCAGAATTGTTTAATTGAAGTATGGTTGACCTATAATATTAGTTTGAAATGTGTGACACAGTGATCTGACAGTTATATACATTACTTAGCGCTCACCATGATAAGTGTAGTTACCCTCTGTTACAGTACAAAATTATTACAGAGGGCGCCTGGTGGCTCAGTTGGTTAAGCGTCTAACTTCAGCTCAGCTCATGATCTCACGGTGCCTGAGTTCGAGCCCCACGTCATGCTCTGTGTGGACAGCTCAGAGCCTGGAGCCTTCTTCAGATTCTGTGTCTCCCTCTCTCTCTGCCCCTCCTCTGCTCATGCTCTCTCTCTCTCTCTAAAATAAACATTAAAAAACTTAAAAAAAATTATTATATTATTGACAGTATTCCCTATGTTGTACTTTTCATTTCTGTGACTTAGTTTATTTTATAACTGGAAGTTTGTACCTCTCAATCCCCTTCACCCATTTCACCCAGTACCCTACACACACCCCTTCTGACAACTGCCAGTTTGTTCTCTGTGTGTAGGAGTCTTTCTTTTTTAAATTTACTTGTTACGTTTTTTAGATTCCACATAAGGTGAAATCATATGGTGTTTGTCTTTCTCTGTTTAACTTCTTTCACATAACATCGTGCCCTCAAGTTATCATTCTTTTTACGTTATCATTCTTTTTTATGGAGGAGCGATATTCCATGGTGTATATATAACACATCTTCTTTAACCATTCATCCATTTTTTTTAAGCCAGGGTTTATTCTTACTTAAAACTAAGAGTCTTTAAAATACCCAAAGCCAGAAGAATTTCCAGGTTTGAGATGGTATCGCAGTCAGGTGATGGCTGCTGCTTCCTCTTTTTCTAAAGCCTCAGAAGGATCCTGGGCAATTTTTCTCGAAAATGTTTCTGGTCTGAAAGCTGATGCCTAGTTTGCTTCATACATCAATCCACTGAGGAAGAAAAGCACAGTGCCAGTAACAGTCGTCATTGCGAGAGAAACACCTCTAGGTTCCCCCTCGTTTCCACATACAGCTAAGAACTAGATCAGATGCATGTTGACTTTTCTTATTTTCATATGTAACTAAAGCTCCATGTTTAATCCCTTACATTGGCAAAATTACTTTTACCAACTTTTAAATATGATAGTCTTCCACATTTTCCAGAAAACCACCCCCCCAGACATGAAGAATACCTGCTTCAGATGATTGGGTCCATTCAGAATGTAATCAGATTCTGGAAATTGTTTTTGTTAGACATTGGGGGGCTAAAGTTTAGTGAAATAAAACTTCAAATTATTGTTTTGGAAGGAGACAGGATAATATACACATAGGGTTATAATTACTATATATTAGGCAGTTTATATCATTATAACATATATCATTATAACATATGTTAATATGTTATAATGATATAACCTGTAATTTACAGGTCTAAGTAAAATGAAAATTGGTCATTAACAAAGCTAAACCATTTAGTTGGCTAGTCAGAAAATCATTTTTTTAACTTGGACCATTTCTGATACTTGCCTTTTCTGGGCAGCATGCCAGTTCACAGGCTTCACGCTGTTGAGACACGGTCACTGCTTTGGGTTGTTGGAAAGCTCAGTGACTTTGTCTGGTTATTGTTGATTATAGTTACCAGAGTCCGGGGAGGGGGAAGAGACAGTTGGAGAATTTCAAAGAAGGAGGGAGGCAGAATGTCCTGAGGTTCACTGGTTGGGGGAGGCTGTCCTTACCAGTCCCTACTATAGAAGTGACTAAGGGACGGTCACATTGGAGTATGAGACAGACATGGAACTGAGAAAACGCATCCTGGACTGGTAGGAAAAGTGCGATACCCGGAGTCCAGAAACCAGGCTCAGGTTCAGGATACCTCACTGAGTACTTGACTTTATTTCTATCACAGATCCTCAAGGCACTTTTTTTTTGCGGGCGCCCCCCCCCCCCGTTTTGTTTTGTTTTGTTGTCCATAAGGTTAGGATATGACAGTTTAGTCCCTAGGATTTTGAGGTTCACATGACACATGAAAGTACTTTGAAAATATAATACACTCTTTAGATGTAAAATATGGAAGAATAGAGTGGTGCCCTTTGAAAAAAATGAAAAACATCAATTCTATTTCTGCTGTAGTATGCTAACATGTTGCTTTTTTATCTTTATAAAAATTACATGTATACAGAGTTTCTAAGAAGTCATGGTGCTGAAAGGCTTATTAGACAAATACCGTTCCTCAAACCAGCCCCTGTAACCTGTCCCCCCTCTCTGGAGGCAACAGCTTACAGACCTTTAAGTTGTTTCCTTGGGAGC